GAAAAGATGCTACATTTGATACTTTTGAGCAAGTTTACGGGGAGAAAAATGTTTACAGAATAAAAAAGAAAAAGAAATAAACATCATTGTAAAACCAATACATTCCTCACTCCTCCACTCAGAAGCTAAAAAAGTTTATATTATTATTTTAATTGACAGCTGGCATAAAAGAAAAGGACAAAGTATTAGAGTTTATGTATCAGAAATTTCAGAACCCTTTGAAGGTGTTAATTTTGGACAATACTACAAGCAAATACACATCGGGCCGTTACATAATTGAGGTGGGTCGACCGAAAAGCAGCGCAGTTTCAGGGTTTGTGTATTAATTAATTCATAAACRGAAAACCATGCAATCTTAAGTAGTTGTACACGTTGTRGTGCATTTGTGCATACTAATTATTCAGCTGTCGCCAAATTATATTATTATGTATTAACAACTGTAGTGAAAACTAAAAAGTTACCTAGTAAGTTAATAACAATTTGTTTTATATTATTGTTTCTTAATTTGTAAACAAATATATACGTATATGCTCATCATTACCGTTGCCAGGAATTTTTTTTTGAGGGGGGAGGGGAGCTTCAATATTTTATTGCTAGGGTTRTGGTAATTTATTATTATTTCTCGATTTTCTAAGATTATTATTTTATTTTCATACTTTATTATACCTAATATGATAACCYGTATTTGCTTGATTAGTATGCAATTCATATTTATATAGGCACGTCTTGTATTATTCATAATTATTCATACATATTATTATCGCATTTATACAGCTTAAGTATGTCTATGAGATTAATGAACGTCCTAAACAGTTAATTATGCCAGTTCCCATGCTATTGTTCGCCAATCACTTCACTGATTTCGTGATGAAGTGTAATATTCAAAGTAATATTACTCTGAATAGGTTTGAGTGCAAAGTGGTCAATTATAAACGAATGTCTATATTTGCTTATTGGCTTATTAAAAAAAAGTTTATTTAACATACTTGATCTAAATAAAACATAAATGGAGAATTCTACATTTTCCTCTTAATATGTAGTGGAACGTATTTAGAAGTGCTTAAAGCAACTGAAAATGTAATCACCACTGATTATACTCGAAATAACAAAAATCACATATGTAGTCAATTAGATTTTCCTTATAAGTTATAAGTGATATATATATACACCTACCGGCTACCCTATCCCACCTAACCTAACTCTCCGCTTTGCTTTGAAATAAAACCTATAAAATGTATTTTGAAATTRCATTTACTATATGGTGGCTAAACATAATGGTTTTAAATTAATTCGCTTGAACGAAGCGAGGATACAATTGATTGTTCTTGCCATTTTATTTTTGTAGAACTCTTTTAAGTGATAGATGTGCTTTTACTTAAATGATTTCACGTGTAGTCGAGCAATTGAGAATTATGGAGAACTTCGTTTTGAAATTAAAAATGTTTTGAACGAATCATAAGTCTGGAAATAAAAATTGGTCGTTCGAAGTTTGCTCTAATTTTGAGTGAATTAATTAATTTTTAAAATTTGTGGGTAAAAAATGCACATTTAGAGTAGTTCGGAGATAGTAGTGTAAGAGAAATGGTGAACAATTTTAAAATCCAATTTGACCATTGCTGATATACACATTTAAATATTTCATCATCMTAATAGGTTACGTAAAATAAAGCTAACTTTTTCAGGAATTTCTAAAGTTTTACCACTAACTAAGGCTCCTCTCACTCATATACATTTAAGTGATAATCATATACATACATGAGTAGGGTTAAGATTCCAAAACTTTCCAGAGGATAACTAGGACGGAAACGTTCCCGAGAAAAAAATTAAAAAGTAAATTTATATAATATTATATAGTACATAATATGATTTATTTCTTGATAATAAAGGTTCTATTAAAATTAAAATTGTAAATTTAATAATATAATAATGTAATGAATTTATAAGGTTAACCTATATACCTAATAATATAATTATTTAAAACTTGAAGGTTAAAATTAAATTTATAAAATATATATTACTATGACTGAGGTGTCGGTATCCATCATGCTATGATAAATATTAGTTCGTAAATAAATATTAATTAACTAATCATTCTAATATTATGTAATTATATGACTTGGTACTCGCATTATTTTCAGCCTGATATTTAAGTTATTCATATAAGAAATTCTGTACAAAGCAAGTGTTTGGCTTTACGTATTTAATATATTTTATGATGAGACCAGTTACTTTATAACCAATTGATAACTATTATCTAATTAACTAAACTACTTTGACAAACACCTCACGGATTTTAACATTTACTAGTTATCAATTAATTTTGAACCTTTGTCACATTTTAATTTAATATTTTATGTTTACATCTGACGTCACAAACCTACACCTAACCTTCCATTATTTTATAATGGCGTTTATTATCATCACTGCATATTTTGATACAATAGTATGAGCTTTGAAAAAATCCAATATAATTGCGTGAACTTAGTGGACAATAATTACATACCTTCCCACAAAAATACTTCTAGGTAAAATAAATGACTGAATATTTAACAAAAGAAAGTTTTTGTAAAATACCACCATAAAAAGATTGATCTTAAAAGTTCAGCCAAAAGCTTTTGTTAGAACCTACAAAATAAAATATAAAAGCAGATGTTTTAAATAATTAAATACCAACCTAACTATAGAATATGTGTATGCAGATTGGATTATAAGGTGTACACTA